AAAGTCCTGCTCTCACCGGCTCTTCATTGCCGCCAATCTCCATTCAAATTTCGCCTCTTTTTATTTTCTTCTCCTGTAGATTTTTTAATGTTTGTCAGATAACTTTGAGCCTCAGTCAAAAAGGAGGTCTGAGGGGTTTATATTTTTTCGGCTTAAGAGAAAGATGAGACTGATGATGGACAGCGGTGTTTTTTTCCACAACATTACCACGTTTCCTGCTCCCTTCAGCTGCAACGCGCTTCTGCGTCTCTTTTCTTCCCCCAATTAAAAAACGGAGGTTGAAATCACGTGACTGAATGACATCAAGCCGACTTCAACAAGGACTGTTTTGACATAAATATAACACTGGACATATTGGCGACCGCTAGCATCCTAGCTTACTGCAGCACGTGTCGTGATACACGCTCCTAAAGATGCTAAGTCATTAGCTCCAAACACTGCAGYTAACATCATTACACTAAATAAGAGGAATATATTTATACAAACCTAATCTGTGCAGACGAACTCTGGGGTTGAAAACAGCATCCAGCATCTTTAGTTTCCCTCTTTCCTTTAAACGACACCGTTCTTCTTCACGATCAGGACCCGTTTTTTCCAGAAAGTCCAACATTTCTTCCAGCGTTGCTGCTTCCTGTCGTTTATCCTGCTGTAAACATCTCTGTTAGCTTTTATTTAGCTAAAGTTTCCTTTAACAGTTACTGAGACCAACTCAACAAGGAGGAATTACTGCTAATGTTGCAGAAAGTCTACATTTAGCCACAGTTTGTTGACTCTGTGGGTCTACTTCTGCTCCTGTTGTTTCAGCTGCAGAGGTAGGATTTGCTCCGCAGCGACGCCAACTGTTTAAGAGAAGAACTGCAGCGAGTGAAGAACATGGGATTTTTATTTAATTATTTTTTATTACATTTATTAAGAACAATCTCAGCAAAGAAACTTCAAAGTATCTTAATATGAATCAACCTTTTAATTTTACCATGATGTAACTGAATAACTAAACATATAATCAACATATCAATGTAGATCAACATGTTACACCCCCAGCACCACCTCCAGCTTTGATAAAACATGTCTTAAAACCTCCATCAAATACGGAGCCCACCCGTGACACTGAATAAACAAATAAATTTAAAAAAAAATCTGACACAACTGCCACAAATTAGTTTTGAGCAGCTTTGTATAAAACGACATTGTTGGGGTCATTTTATAAATGAATGTTGTTTTTAATTGTCAAAGGTGCCCCACATTTATCTGTTTTTTACATTTTGTGTATGCCTTTGTTTAATCAAAAGGGTATACCTCCGTGGTTCAATCCAAACAGTTTATTTTTCACAGTATTTAGGAGATGACACTRATAGTCTTAAGTGTGTTGGGAAACTTTGTTAATGTTTTTACTGTTCCTGAACGTAACATAACTGTGTTTCCTCATCAAAGGCAGGGGGAGCAGCAGGAGCCTGTTTTAAATGTTGAGCTTCAAATAAATGAAGGTTTGTGGACAAAGACAAGTCCAGTCATCATCTGTGTTTTATAGCTGCAAACATATAACACTCAGAGTGACTTCATGCCTCACCAAGTCACTGAAAGATGTCAATTATTCATATTTTAAAATTAAATTAATTCAAACATGACCGTGTTAACAATCAACAGTCTATATGGAAATGACAGCAATAATTATTCATCATCCATCCATCCATCCATCCATCCATCCATCCTCTGTATCCACTTCTTCCTTTCAGGGTCACTGGTGCCCATATCCAGCAGTCGCAGTGCAATAATTATCTCATGCATTAATTTTTTTTTTCCAGTGTTGCCAGACGGGCCCTGTAAAAACTTCCTAAACTCGTTTTTCATCACTGTCAGGAACAGTGTGATGAAAAGTGAACTTTAGAGTAGAATATAATAGAATAGAACTTTATTGTCATTGCACGTCACAAGTACAAAGCAACAAAATTCAGTTTACATCCATCCAGAAGTGCTTAGGAAATATATACAGTACATTTAGGTCCATATATATTTGGACACTGACACAAATTTTATATTTTTACTTGTTTACTGAAACGTATTCAAGTTATAGTTATATATAATGTTCATGTACAAAAAGTCCAGACATTCAGCTTTCATTTGAGGGTCTTGTTTCAACTCCTTAACTTGTGCCACCCTGTTTATAAAGGGATCAAAAGGAATTGGACAATTGACTCCAAGGCTATTTCATGGGCGGATATATAT